CTCTAGCCTCTTTGCAGGGAGTTCTGCTGAAGGGTTCCGTGCTGGGCCTGTGCTCTGGGTCTATTCAGGATCCGGAGGACCCCAGGTCGTCTCACTCACTGGCAGGGCCTGCACTCTGGGTCTATTCAGGATCCGGAGGGCCCCAGGTCATCTCACTCACTCGCAGGGCCTGCGCTCTGGGTCTGTTCAGGATCCCGCGGCCTCGGGTTGTCTCACACACTCGCCGGGCCTGCGCTCTGGGTCTGTTCAGGATCCTGCGGCCTGGGTCGTCTTACTCACTCCCCAGGCCTGCGCTCTGGGTCTATTCAGGATCCCTTGGCCTCGGTCATCTCACCCACAATGGTTTTTTGATGGTTGGCTTTTTTTGTTTGTTTGTTTGTGAGGCAAGGTCTCTTTGTGTAGGCAAGCTAGCATCAAGTTCATGGGGATTCTTCTGTCTCAACCTCCTGAGTTCCGAGGTGCCAGGCACGAGCCAGCACACCCAGCTCACTGCAGAGTATTGACATCCTTTTATGTGCCCTGTACCACTGTGCTAGAAGCCTTTTTTATTGAGTTATCTGTTCTTTACAAATGACATGATATGGTGAGCAGGTGGTATTCAGAGAGGAACTGAAGCCTGGAGAAACTAAGTGGTCTATCCAAGAATGCCCAGGAAGGGAGAGTCAGGACTCGAATCTAGGCCGTGCCTCTAGCCCCAGCTCTCCCCAGGGGCTTCCTGGGAGGGTTGCACTTTCCTCACATAGAGCTGCGAGGGGGCAGCGTGTGAGGATCATGTGGGGGTGATTGCTGTATCTCTGGGCGTTCCTGTGCCCTCCTACACTTGCCTGGAGGCAATTTCCCCTGACCAAAAGAAATTATTGTACAATACACGATATAAAATGTACCATTTTAACCATTTTATTGCCCAATTCAGTGACATAAGGAATATTTACAATGCTATACCAGATATATATAGCATTTTCTATTTCTAGAACTTCTTTATCAGCTTTCTGATTGATTGATTGATTGATTGATTGATTGAGTGATTGAGTGATTTATACTGAGGTTGGAACCAAAGGTCCTCTACTACTGAACACATCCCCAGCCCTTTTCCATTTTTCCTTTTGAGACAGGGCTCCCTACACAGCTCACGCTCGTACCTTACTGCTCAACTTCCCAAGTAGGTGGGATTACAGGTGTGTGCCACCACACCCAGCCTGACCGTTGCCTTTCTAGGAACTCAACCTTTGCATCATGGCTGAGCGTCCCACAAAATAATCCGTGAAGATGCTCCTTGGCTGTCATATGTCCCTCTCTGTTTCATCCACTGGCCAAGAGAGGCCAGGTTAGATATAACACATCAGCAGGTTGGTCTGTCATTTTATTAGAAGTGAATTTTTTTTTATCCTGTAGATATCTGGGCAACAAGAATGTCCCACTGAGAGAATTGACACAGTGGGAATAAAGCAATGGTGCTTTGTCTTTTCTTCCCCCACCCCCAGGGGTCTCATCTGACAGATAAGCTAGGAATCTCTCACAAGGGCCCTAGAAAGAGAGCCCCTTTATATCCTCCAGGGGGATTATTTGACATTTATGACATTAAAGAAGTCATTTCAAAGAGCCAGCTATGGGTTTTACTTCTCTCTTGACCGGTTTCATAGCGTGTTGTGGTTGACTGCTTGGTCTGGCCTTGGGTAGAATGTGGTCATTAGTGCTGGTTACGGGCAGCATCTCACTGTCCCGGATGCCATAAAGACAGTATGCTCCTTACATCCAGGCAATTTCTGTACCCCATCAGAAGGCTGGCATCAGTGATCCTTGGCTTGACTGTGGTAGAACAAACTCTATTGATGGAAAATTTTTCTTCGGTTTTCCCACCCTGTACATTGTGGTCTCTTGAAGAAAATGGTTGTAATTTTTTTTAGTGCTTAAAATTTTGGCATGACTATGTTTGGTATAACTGTATTTGGGGTAAAATGTACTTCCAGAGGGATGAGGAACAAGGACTAGACTAGATTTAGACTAGATAGAAAAAGGCAGTTTCCTCCATAGAAAGTGACCACAGTAGGTCCTAGACTCATTAAACCTTGCTCCACATACTAGACCCGTCCTGAAGGTCCAACATCAATGCCTTAACGTTGGTTCCAGATTCTCTGAAGCCATCAGTGGAGGGGAGGCGAGAAAGAAAGGAACCACATTTGCCTTCCATGACCTAAGCCCAGTGCTTATGCCACCTGGAGACCACTGAAAATGTTCACTGTGACATTCACTGTCTTACTCCCTTTTTACAGAGAAAGACTTGAACTCAGGGGTGGCCAGTGATTTGCCAAAATCCCCAGGGCTAACATGAGCTGAGCTCAAGCCTGATCTTTTTATTAAGTTGTTCCTGCTCTTTAGTGCGAGAGGACCCGAGTCACCCTGGGCACCTTTAGGAGTGAGCACTTAAAGAACTCCGCAGATGAGAACCCTGAATAGATCAGTTTGCTGAGATATAAGACAATGGTTTGTCAGATGTAGCTGAGATTCCTCAGCAAAGCTGTCAAGAAAAATAAACTACAACTAGGGTAACCCTCAGCCATCACTTTGGAGTGGGAATCAGCCAATTTACTGTTCCAGCAGCTCTGCTGTGTTCCTCTGTGGACTTTTACCTGCACAGATCATCCTAAAGAAACTTCAGGTTTGATACAGCAGTGTTAGAGAAGTCACAGCTCATAGAGGAAAGCGCCCGGGCTTCGGAGTTACACAGGCTTGGGCTTGCACTCTGACTCTTAGATAAGTTGCTTAAGCTTTTCAGCATCTGGAACCCATGAATGGTGATTCCTAACTCCTGGGCTTCTGTGAAGGTGACGTAAGGTAAGGACTCCCATACCTGAACAGGAGGCAGGATGGTGGCCCTTAGCGGCCACACAGGGAAGGTGTTAGTTGTGGTCACTGAGTCAGCAAGAGTCTGAACAATGAGCATTCCTTCTGCCTTCTGTACCCACAGTGCTGCAGGGCGTGGACAACTCTCTTGTGGGCCTGCATAACCAGAGCTTCGCCCGCGTCATGGAGCAGCGCCTTGCCCAGCTGTTCATGATGTCCCAGCAACAAGGCCGGCGGTTTAAACGAGCCACCACCCTGGGAAGCTACACTGTGCAGGTAGGTGTGTGTGCCGTGCCACTGCGGGGGGCGCTTTGGGATGTGTATGGAGGAGCATTCTGGCTGCCCCTGAAGAAGCTGTGGCGTCAACACAGCTCTGAGGTTTTGGAGGGTGAGGGCCATTGCCAGCCTCCCATAGGGTCAATAAGGAAGGAGGTCTCCAAATAAGGTTCTGCACACATGCAGATATTTATAAAACTAAAAGTTCTGCTGTCTACATTTAACCGATTACAATACAGCACCCTCCAAGCTTGTAGTGGACATATAACCACGTAAGGATTTAGAGAGGGCCCTGGAGCAGGCACTCATGTGGCTCCACCCATGCTTTCTCAGCTTTTCTTTAAAGTATTTCTTAGTACAGGGTCTCACTACATAGATCGGACTTGTAGTGATCCACCTGTTTTCAGCCTCCCAAGCGCGGGGATTACAGGCATGCACCACCATGCCCAGTCTCATTCACCATCTCAGCAAGCCCCAGGGGTGGGACTGGTACGGCACACCGGGGATAGAACCTGGTCCCTACATCTGCCTAAGCAGGCACTTTAATCCACTGGGCTATCTGCGTGGCCCTCTCTCAGCTTTTCTAAATATGCCAGTCAGATGTCAGCACCATTCCCCGAATCTGTCCTGCAGGGCTACTCTTGGGAGCCACTTTGCCCAAGTTCTGCTGCCTGGAAAGGTCTAGGAATTAGCCAGTGGTGGAGGGACAGATACTTTTCTGCTTCCACCCTTCTCTGGGGAAATTCTAAAATGTATCTTCAAGATCATTTCCAGAGCTTTCCTACAAAAGTAAGTTCCAGTCTTACTTTTGCTGCACACTGGTGAGTGCAGCAATTGGCTCTTCCCACCTGTATGTGACGTCCTCACCTTCTTCTCTGTTCCTGGCCCCTCTCAAACTACAAGCACTCAGCTCTTTTTTTGCATTTACTTCCGAAGAAGCCCACTCAAGGCAGTCAGTGTAGCCATGCCCACTGAAGCAGTTCTAACCCTTCCTTGATACCTTGCCCCGTTCTATCAAGAGTGGGAGTCTTGAATATTCTAACCAATCCACAAAGCTTAAGACCACTGACTTCACCAATGAGAACTCACCTGTCCTCATTATGCTAAAGTACTCAGTAGCTAAGCCTGGAAGGTGGGCTTCTTCACTGGACAGTCTAACAGGCTGTGCCAATGTGTGAACTTCTGAAGGGTAGTTGGCCATGCCTAGCACACACGCAATCCATTAAATAACCCATTCTCTCTCCCTGCCTGAGTCAGCATCATGCCCCTGACAGGGACTCTCAGTCCCCTTATTCACAGTTATGAATTTGGCCCCTGAATGCTGCTTTGGTTCTAAAAGTCTTTGTGGTCCCTGACAACCTCATCACAAGGTAAAGGGATGGTTAATTTCTTGTGCTGGGTTTATAATTCTTCTTTGTACATTCCATGCAAGCCCTGTAATTCACACTTCTCCAGACAGAAAGGAAGCCATCGGTACTCTGATGACAGAGATTTGTACCAGCTGAAAGGGCAGAGAGGCTTATGCTACGATTCTGGGTTTCTCGTAACCCTAAGCAACCTAACACATTCCTCATGTCTAAACAGGTCCAGAGAGATGTTTTCTCTCAGTTTTCCCCTAAGTACTCGGTTTACTTGTCCGTATGGCTGACTGGAGAGCCAGAGTGAAGCAAGTGGTTTATTTTTATATATTTTCATTTTTCAGAGACATTAGATGGCCTCTGGCACCACTTTAGGAAAAGCCATGCTAAGAAGAATTTTTTTTTTTTTTTTTTGCCCTGGGCAAAAACCCAAGTGCATCCTACCACCGAGTTATATCTTTGTCATTTTGTTTTGTTTTATGTGACAGGGCCTTGCTCAGTTGCTCAGGTTGGCCTCAAATTTGTAATCCCACTCTCTCTGCCTCCTGAGTACCTGGGATTATAGCCCTGTGCTCAGCTTATCTCTTCTTATGCTGGTAGATACCTCATCTACTTCTAATTTGCAGCTATTAAACAAGACTTCTATGCACTTTTTTTTTGCATGGATCATTTTGGGGCCACATGCTTTTTCCTTGCCGGGGTGTATAGGAGAATTGCTGGTTCATAGGGTGAATACTTAGCTGTATGTGAAACTACCAGATATTTTCCCAATGTGGTTATGCTATCTTACATTCTACCAACCAGATATAGGATACCATTTGCTTTACCCATATATTGACAAACACATACTATTGTCAGTCCTTCTTATTTTAGTTTACCACTGGTAGATGGACAATCGTGTCACATAATTTTAATTTGAATGTCCCCATTAAGTATATTTTATGTGCTTACTGGATATTCAGATACTTTATTAAATGCTTGATCTGATCTATCACATTTTTATTGTGTTGTACTGATACCTCTTTTTCAATTGTTAGATACAGCAGGTATACAACAAAAGATAAAAATTATGTGGTTTCAAGTACACTAATGAAAAGGGGCCACAACTAATCCATAGGGTGAAACATTGCCCTCACCTTAGCCCCAGGAGCTTCTTGTATTTCTTCTTTGATTGTACTTCCTCTCCTTCTGTCAGAGTTGAGCATGATTCTAAATTTTATATCAAGGGCCGGCAAGATAGCTCAATGGACTAAGCGCCTGCTTAGGCAAGTGCAGGGACCAGTGTTCAGTCCTTGGCACCACATGCTGCACTGGCTTCTCCCCGGTTGCACTGAGCCAGCCACCAAGACTGGACATGGTGGTGCACACCTGTAATCCCAGCGCTGGGAAGGCTGAAAACAGGAGGATCGCTGTGAGTGCAAGCTGTATAGTGAGACTCTGTACCAAATACATTAAAAAACAAATAAATTTTGTGTTAAATTGCTTCCATAGTTCGTATGTAGGTTTTACCGTCCATATGCGTGTTTTTATACAAGGTCATGTGGTTTTGCAAGTTTTCAATTTTATAGCCTGTGATTCATTTCTGTCATTCAATATCAGGCTTTTGCATTGATACAAAATAGTGATAGTTTATTCAGTTTCACTATTCTACAGTATTTCATTGTGTGACTACACTGTTACTCATTGATTCAGACTACTTTGAATGGCATTTGAATTTTCAGGGTTCCCTTTTTTGTTTTACTATTATTAACTAAATTACTATAAACATCTTTGTAAGATCTTTTAATAGATAATTAAACTAAAACTCTTCAATATATACTATATTTTGAAGACCACTATATTATACTGTAATGTTTATCAGTTGTTAGTGATAAGAACAAAAAGTTGGTAACCTAAATGCTCAATATAATAAAAGAATAGTTAAGTGTACCAGGCTTATGTATAGTAGAACACTATATAGGTGCTGAAAGTTAAACTTTTTACATTTATGTTTATCCATTATTAATTATAGGATTGAAAAATTAGAAACAATGTAAGTGTTCAATAATAAAGCATTTGTTAAACAAGTTTGTGAAGTAAGCGTTTGAATATCATTCAGAAATAAGTATTTATGTGTTTGAAATGTTTGAGGCCATTTAAAGATGCGAGCATAATTAGCAAGGTATAATATTTTATAGACAGCATGAGAAATAATTTTGTTAAATTACAAAGGAAAGGCTTCTGTGGCAAAATCCAGGTCCTACAAGGAAATGCTCCAGATAATTAGCAGTGGAAAAAGCATTATAAATTATTTTATTATAGTCAATTTTCTGATGCTTTTCTACATTTTCAAATGTTCCCAAATATGTATAACTTTTACAATAAAGGAAATACAGTAGTACTTTAGAAGACAAACTTTGAGTTTCCAAGTACTGTATTTATCAGTGATCTTTTGAATTATAGATGTGTAGGTTAATTTTCTTTTTTCCTTTCTGCCAACTGCAGACATTTGGAATTAAAAATCTTGTTTGAGAATAACCTAGCATGCCCTGAATTAATGTGGAAGCCTATTTTTAAATGAGGCCAGAGCTCTGTGGGGCCTGAGAAACATCGTATTCTGTGTTTTTGCCTCCAACTTCAAACTGTGCCCTTCCAGATGTTCATATTTTTCAGAATCTCTCTCCCCTCCCCAGCTCCCAGTCCAGTGATAGCAGGCTTCAGAGTCTGGCTATAGCAAGGGCCATGAAGGTTGGTGTCTGGCTCATAAGGTGTGGGTCTACTTAGCCATAGCGCACTGTAGTGGGGCAGAGAGCCTGCTGATTGCCTGGGGATTCTGGTTTGGTACAAGATGTGCTGTCAACACGTGGCCTCTCTTTTTCTGAAAGATGGTAAAGATGCAGCGTGTGCCGGGACCAAAAGACCCAGCGGAGCTGACTTACTACACCCTGTACAACGGGAAGCCATTGCTGGGGACTGCGGCAGCCAAGATCCTGAGCACCATTGACTCCCAAAGGATGGCCTTGACCCTGCACCATGTTGTCCTTCTGCAAGCTGACCGTAAGGGAACAGTTTTTATTCTGCATTACAAAAGCCATTAAATGTTTCCTTACCATCTGAGTCTTCCAACTCATGTTAACGGTGTCAGAGTTAAACATTTTTCTACTCTGGAAGATTCTTAAATTGATCAGCCATGTTTTCTATGTTGTATGAAGTAGTAGGTTTGGGGTAAGAAATGTGGTTTGTAGTATTCAAATTACCTAATGATGTCACCCTCCCCCAAGTGATACCACTCTTACCCTGTCTCTCTAATCTAGAAAATAGCTATGAAAGATTACTGAAGCTGAAATTATGTTTGTATGCCTGGGAAATGAAAAGCTAATTTGATTCAATAGACATTTGTGGAGTCCCATAGGAACTATGCCTGGTGCTTGAGGACACACTGACGCAACTGAGTCCTTGGCTCCTCCTGCCTTTAAGGGGCCAGGAGTTGATGCAGCTAGGAAAGAGGATATTGCAAGAGGGGCCTGGCAGTGTGATGCAGGGACAAGCAGGGTGAGCTTTGCTTTGAAAGGTCATCCGGAATGAAGGTACAAAGGACATATGATAGCTACCTCTGTGAGTACCCTCCCTATGACAGCTACTGTGCTACTTGCTTCACCGAGAGTTCCTCACCTTTGGCTCTCCTAAGAGCAGTGTTTCTTTAGCTCTAAATCAAAAGGAAACCGAGTCTCAGAGGAATGAAATCACCTGCTGAACACCACAGACCTGGTACTTGGGTAGCCAAGATCTCAGCTGGATTTGTCTGACTCCCGAGCTGTGCTCTTACCTGTGTTGCAGCAGAAGGAGAAGAGTAGGTAGGCTTCAGCAGAGCAGCCTGAGCAGAAGAATGGAGAAGAAAGAGCAGGCGTGCTTGGGACACACGGAGTTCACACAGCCAGGATGAACAGACGGATGGGGATGTGATAGCATTAGGAAAATGTGTGCATCAGGAGACTCAGCCCCTGAATGGCAGGAGAACGAGATGGTATATCATTTGAGGATGATCAAAACTATGATTTGCATTTAAATTTTTTTGTGTGTTTTATGTATTTGGTACAGGGTCTCACTACACAGCTCAGACTCACAGCGATCCTCCTGTTTTCCTCCTCCCTGGCACTGGGATTACAGGCGTGCACCACCATACCCACTTTTGCCGGCCCTAAATTTTTAAAGCTGTTACGGCAAAAGGCATTCTCCTTTTTTGAAACACAACCCATCATTCTTGCCACTTTTCTCAAACAACTCTGGAAGTTCTCTTTCATAAATGTATTTAGTTCAGTGTCCTCAATTGATTCAAAATGTTTACCTATTATGGTCATTGTGGCTTTGGGAATGAGCCAGAAGTCATTTGGTGCCAGATCCAGTGAATGAAGTAGACGTGGACATGCAGTCATGTTTTCACGAGCCCACTTTTCTGTTCAGTGGTACTCAGCATGTCTCATAAAGGCACTAACAGAAAGGACGTTGAGAACTGCTTCAGAAAGTGCCACAGGGGCTGGCAAGATAGCTCAGTGGACTAAAGCACCTGCTTAGGCAAGTTTAGGCAAGTGCAGGGACTACGGTTCAATCCCCCCTGCACCGTATGCTGCACCAGCCCTGCCCTTAGGTCATGGTGGTGCATGGTGGTGCACACCTGTAATCCCAGCACTGGGGAGGCTGAAAACAGGAGGATCTCAGTTGGGAAGCAGTGACATTCATCTCAATAAATGCTAGTTAACAGAAATGGAAGAGTAACATTTTGGTGAAAGAGACTCACTCTTGATCATTCCTTTACAAATATTCATTAGGCATCTACTGCGTGCCATGCACCAGCCCAGGTACTGGAGAGACAGAAATGAATAAAACTGACAAAGAAGTGCCTGTCCTCGTGGACCTAACATTCCCAGCGGGGCACATTCCAGAGATGAAATAAGCAAGGAATGAGATGCAGTGAATTATAATTAGCTGAGTGCCTTGGGGACAGTGGGCAAGGAAGGGCCAGGGAATATCCTTGGTGGATGTGGTGGCTGTAGTTTCAGATGGTTGGGGGAGGTGTCAAGAAGAGGATAGCGAGGAAGTGAACAGCGATGAGGAGTACAGAAGGAAATGGCCCCTGCAGGTACCTGTAGATTCGTGGCAGAGGAGAGCTTGAGCCAGGGAGTGCTTGAGTGGGCATAGGGATATAACATCCCAGATACAAAAGCCATGCACAGGGCCATGGGCACTGAGCCTCATGGGTGGCTCTGAGAGGGACAAAAGCCACAGGAGGGCTTGGGCAGGAGAAGGATGTGGATCAGGTCCTCCCCAGCTGCGGGGTTCTGTGTACATTCTCCCTGGTTTCCACTTCCACCAGCTGTGGACTCTTAATGTCTGAGACCTTTTAGGTGATGGTCACAGAAAGGAGCTGCAAACATTCTCAAGCAGATTGCTCCTCCTTCCAACATTTGCTCCACAGGAGGAGATTTCATTCTGTGCTTGGATCATTTGGATCTTTGACTGTTTTCCTTCTGACAAACTTTCCTGCGTACATGTGTAAAACTTACACTTCCATTCATGTGTGTCCACTTGGAAATGATACAAAACTTTGTTCTAGAGAAATGATTTTTCAATCAAAGTCCACCCTCCCCAGGGTGGGGCTCAGTTTTGTCTGTTGTGAGTTGGGATGACATTAGCACTGCTGGATCTAAACCCAGAAAGGGTGGGCAGAGCATGTTGTCTTCACTTCCTTTTTTTTTTTTTTTTATTAATTTTATTGAGAAACACATAGCAGTGAGACAGTTTCAAAATGAATTAGTAGGACAGTTTCAATAATTAATACATTGCATATTGTTGTCTTCATAGTGGTTATTCATAGTACTAGAAGCAGACATGATATCCTGTCCACAAACACTATTAGTACAAATCTTTCTTCTCATTGAATTAAGAGAAAGTAGCTGTATATCTATCCTAACTATTTTGTGTATACAGATGCAAAATGGTCCTTCATTTATATCCCCTTTCTTGTTTAGTTTTGTCAGAGATGGGTATTCCATTGCCATTTAAATACTGTAGGTGTATGAATTCAACAAAATATTCCAATATAGTCCAGTAGTCCATAATAGTAGTGGGTTATTCGCAGAACTGGCAATGTCAGAAGCTGTTGACTTGAGCCTTTTACAGCTCAGCATATTAATATGGCCTTACTTTTTATACCTCATTTTTATACTTTTCTGCTGGATGGTTAAGACCAAGATAAAGTAAGACCTATATAACAAGAAATGTAACTTTTGTATCTGCCAATGTCAGTCAAGTACCCTCAGGATTTATCCTGAAACCCTGTCCTGCAGTTTGTAGATCCTTTGTCAGTATCAGCCATGTGGATGAGTCACAGCCATTGCTTGACCAATTTGCTCTCTGTGAAAGCCTGAGAGAATGTTTCTCTCCATGTGACTCTCCTTAGGCACACTGTACATCATTGATCACTTTCCTCTGTGGCCTCATAATCTCCTTGATCAGAAAATTTAGGACACAACTGAGTTACAGGATGTTATAGTATAGGTTCTGCTATGTCCTGAGTCCTCACTGACCTTGGATTCACTTCCTTTCTGTCCTCTGCTCACACTCTTGCAATTTAAACAGTCAGTCCTTCCTCATCCCCTCTGTACATGACTTTGTCCTTCTAGATCAGGAGCCAAAGGAATATATTAGGTTTGTATGACTTCATTTGACCTAACTTTAATATCACTTTGACCATTAAAGGACTTTATTAATGGACACAAGATGAATCTATTCTTACCTTTTAAATAGAGGTGAAGGGATTTTACGTATTGCATCTAGAAAAACAGAACACATCCACAAAAACAGTGAGACTGAGGCAAAGGCCGAGCACATAAACACTTTGTTCTTGCTAATGAGAAGAATCATACATATGTATTTACCTGGATAGACACCGAGACAGTACATTTTTAATCTGTCAAGATAGGCTAGTCTGGCCAAAGAGGCATATTAATAGTTTTCACAGAAGCTCTAAGTGTTGAAAAATGTTAATGGCACACACACACACACACACACACACACACACAACTCACATATAAATTCTGAATTACTAAAAGCAGGAGCAATTAAGTGTGTAACATCAACAGAAGCACATCTTCTAGTGTGCTGTTTTCAGAAGTTAAAGTGATTAATTACTGATTGGTAAAAGCTGTGGGAATAGACTGATTTTTTGGTATTAATATTCTGAGCCCAAGGGCAGCCAGATGACAGGCAGATCTTGGCTAATAGGGGATCAGTAGAAGTGAGAAGGTGGCTGAGGGCAGAGCAGAGGCTGCTGGACCCTCAGACTGTCCCTGTCCATGTGGTACTTAACGGGGTGGTCTTTATATTGTAAAGTCCTCAGCTTTGGGAGTTCACTTCTATTGTTTTGTTTGGAGAATGCCTTTCTTCCTGGTACAGTATGTAAACGTCCTTCACCTCTGTTTAAATGAGGATAGAATAGGTTTTTCTTGTGTACAGTAATAAATTCACTTGGTGGTCAAAATGATATTTAAGTTAGGTCAGTGGAAGTCATTCGAACCTAATGTGCTCACTGGTGTGAGATCGAAGAGTATGAAGTCACGTGTAGAGGTGACCCTTCAGAACTCAGCAGGGTCGGGAAGACCACGTTATGCTAACCAGTCCCTAAAAAGAATGATACATACACTGGATTGTGAGTACATGAATTTAAATATGGACTAGAATAACCACACAGATGAGATTTTTAAATTATTTATTTGGTATAGAGTCTCACCATGCAGTTTGGACTCATAGTGATCCTCCCATCTCAGTCTTCCCAGTGCTGGGATTACAGGCTTGTGCCACCATGGCCAGTTCCAGGGCTGACACTGCATGTTGTACTGGGGATCGAACTCGGGACCTTGTGCTTTCCAGGTGGGCACTTAGGCCACTGACCTCTCTCCCCAGCCCCAGATGGGCTTTTTAACTTGCTGATAGTCTGTCCTACTAGAATGTCTCTATGAGGAACCAAACTGCAACAAGGACAGTGTTAGTTCATGTATACATGCCTTTGATTTTTTTTTTCTTTTTTTTTCAATGCCTTTGATTTTTAATTGAACACCTATTATGTACAAGACACTATTATAAACCATTGCAGAATCCTCATATCACCAATGAGGAAAAATGATATGGATCCATCTTCCTCCTCTTAATACTAATGGAGGATATTTTGATTGTGCTCCACACAGGGGCCCACACTAAAACATTATAAAGCTATACTCTCATTTTACAGGTGAAGAAACTGAGACTCAGAGAGCTCAAGTCCCTTCCCCAAGGTCACATGCTGCTGAGGCACAGGCTTTCTGATCTTGAGCCCTCTTAACCTTTGCTCCCTCCCATCTGTCTCATGACTTGGGATTGGGGTGGGGACATTCATGTCTGGTGCTGCTTGTCACACGCTTCTTGCGGGCTCCTTCCCGCAGCCGTGGTGAAGAACCCCCCCAACAATCTGTGGATCATTGCCGCGGTCCTGGCACCCATCGCCGTGGTCACGGTCATCATCGTCATCATCACTGCTGTGCTCTGCAGGAAGAACAAGAATGACTTCAAGCCAGACACCATGATAAGCCTGCCTCAGAGAGCAAAGGTAAGTGGGGAGAGGGAGGGGAACCCGGGCCTGCAGGCCTTGCCTGCTGGGTTTTGGAACCATTAGAAGAGCCCTCAAAAGGTATGCGTCCTGTTTGGGAGGAGCACCTCTGTTTCCTGATCAGAAAATGACATGCTTATCTGCTGCTCACTGTTCGCCACATACGCTCCCGGGCGATTCACACAGAGCATCCTTTGGAGGAAGGACCATTACGTTACAGATGAAGACACTGAGGCACAGGAAACTAGGAGCCAGAGAGAACTGAAAGGACTTCGCAGATGAGTTCATTGGATTTCCTCTTCTTATGCATGGAAAGTAACTCCTTCAAGGTTATGTGGTTTGTGAGTTGCAGAAGGAGTGGTACAGCCAGATCTGTTATGGTCAGGATGTTTGTGCCCTTCACATTCATATGCTGAAATTCTAATTCCCCAAGTGATAGTATCAGGGGGAAAGTCACTGGGAGACAATTAGTTCATGAGGATGGTGCCCCTAGGAGTGAGATTGGTGGCCTTGGTAAAGAAGCCCTTGATAGTTCCCCTGCTTTCCCCACTGCGTGATGATGTAAGACGTGGGTAGTCTGCAGCCTTGCCTCAGTCACATTCCTGTCACTGGACACAATATCCAACACCTGTAGCTTAAAGGAGAAAAGCTTTATTTTGGCCCATACTTCCAACCCAGGTTGACTGGCAGCAAGGCAGAAACAGGATCACAGGGATGATGGCAGACAGGGCTGCTCAGGCCATGGTGGCCAAGGCCAAGAGAGAGGAAGGAGATGCCTGGGAGGGAGCTACACCCCTTCAGGTCACACCCCCAGTGACCTGCGTCATCTGACCAGGGATCTCCACCACCTCTTAGGAGGTGGAGCTCTACAAACAGCACAATTGGCTGTGAACTCTTCAGTGAATTAATCTGGTGATGAATACACAGCCCCATGATCCAGTCATTTTCTAAAGTCTCACCTCTGAACATCTGAGACTTGGGGGTCGGAGCCATCCTAGATCTGAGCCGTAGTAGGCCTTCCCCAGAGCCCAACCGCACTGGCATCTTGATCTTGGGTTACCAAACTGCGAGAAATAAATGTCTGATGTTTATACAGCCTACCTATCTATGGTATTTTGCTGTGGCAGCCCAGCTTGACTATGAGACAATCTCAGCTTCTCATGCAAGCTGCCTTTGGGCGCACTGGCTCCCAAATGTTCTCCCCACTGAAGTGACTTTTCTTCAGTGGATGCTGTAATGGACAGCTCCGGGGCCAGAGCAGGCTGGCTGCCGAAAGTCAGACCCATGGCTCCCCTGAAGCCTTGTTTGAGCTCCGTTCTTCCTCTGTTGCCTGCACATCCCTGCCCCATCCACCTCTGGTGACTGGCAGGCAGTGGGCTGAGGAAACTCTGAAGGCTAATTTTCCAGTCATGTAGCCACTGATGTGACATTCCCCCAGAGAAATATCCTAGCTGTAATCCTCCGTGTTTAAATAATGCCTTACAGTTAGCTAAGCTCTGCAAAATCTGTCACCTCGTTTGTTCCTCATGGCAGCCCTGTGAGGTAGGTCACAGTGAGGGCAGGTTTTATTATCCTTATTTAGCTACCAAGAAACCAAAGAGAAATGTTAGGATTTGTCCAGAGTCACCCAAGTTCCAGAGACCCACACCTGAGTCATTGAGCTCTCTCTTCATTGAATTCCTATCTGAACTCCGGGATTTGAAAGGAAGGATCCTCTCCAAGCTCTGAGTCTCTGATCCTCATCTACCTGTGGAGAAATGAAGCCACAAATCACTGTCATACTTCATACCCATGAGCCATGAGATGTCCTTACTTGGGGAATGCATCCCTCCATTCTTCTGTGCCATCACACCTCCTATGGGCAAAAGAAATCAAAGGATTGTTATTCATTACAAAACCCATACACATGTTGGGAAGGTCTGACTTGATTAGACATTCTCCCTGCTGAAAAGCCAAATCCCAAAGAACACTCTTATTCTTCTGTGGGTGCAAAGGCACCTGCTTTGCAGACACAGCAGGATGCTGATGGGAAGAGTACGTTGGGACTTGCCAAGCAGCAAAAAATGAAACTGTTCCAAGAAGGAACAGCTAGCTTAGCTTGGTACATGCGCTTTTCAGACATCACAAGAAATTGCCAGAATCTAGTTGTATCTGAGTCCAGGAATGAGAACATGGCAGGCTGAGGTTAGATGCGGCATCTCTGTTATGGATTAAACTAGTCTTACTCATCTGCCAAGATGAGCTGGACAACACAAGAGTATAGCACACCTTTGGGCTTGAAAGCTCTCTGAAACTGGAATAGGTGAGATGTTTATGGTTTCCGTAGCTCCTTTGGTGTGCCTACCCCATGCATTGTGCTTCTTGAGATATCTGGCTGATGTTATGAATCAAGCAAATCAATGTTCCACAGCTGATTGCAACCACTTGTGTGCAGGGCTTCTGGTTGTCTTCCCATCCAATTAGGCTGGGCAAGGCACTTTGACATCCAAAGCCCTTTTGGCACAGAAAACCAGAAAAGTAGTAGAACTGGCTATGTGTTGCTGCAGTCCTGCTGTAGCAAGCCAGGGCACTGCAGTGTCTGAGAGAGAGCCAGCTGCACTACCTGTCACAACTGTGCATGTGACTGGAATTCAATGAATGTCAAGGGACATGACAGAATAAAAAAGTTAGCTTGTACCACCAATCCACAGAGTAGGTGGATGTCCCCTGGGACATTACTGCATTGTTAGGATACAGGCTACGGTGCCAGAAGAAGTCCTCAGGACCCTCCTGAGACTCAGTAATAAACCTAACATGCTAAGCATAGGAGCTGGCTGTGGCTTTCCTGGGAGCTGAGGCCAGGGCATGGGTCCTGCACCTGTCTTCAGAGTCCAGGTACATAGATGAACCCATTACCACTGTTAGCTGGGCTGCTGGTGGTAGTGCTGAAGTGGATGAATGCAGTGTGTCAAGCTTCTTGGCTTTTGTTACTTCCCTTATTTGTAGTTCTCTTTGCTTTACTCTATATAAAGAGCCCTTTCCCCTCTAGTTTTCCCCTTTATGTAATTAAAAAAGAACATGACCCCTTGGCTTTCTTAGGAGAAAGGAGTCAGGGCTATAGCAAGATGTAGGCATGAACATCTGCTTGGGACAGGACACTCATCCCTCTAAGAACAGCTACCTATTGTCTGTTCTTCACATTCAACCTGTGTGATCTCAAGAAAGGTATTTAACCTTTTTTGTGCTTCAGTTTCCCCATCTGTGATATGGGAGCAGTAGCAATATTAGTGGATAGCTTCTTGCAAGGATTAAGTGAGTGTATGTAAGTTGCCATGTGCTATACCTGGTACAAAATAAACGTTACACAAGAATTGGCTTTTGGTGTTACATTTTTTTCTTTATAAGGCATAATATAATATGTCTACTTTGAAATTGTCAGAGATTATTTTAATTTGATAGTTTTATAAAAACTCATCAAGTACCTGCATCTAGACACTAGTGTATATCCAATGGACAGTTAATTAATCTTGGATAATTTTCAAGTTGAAGGTTAAAAGGACATTACCCTGGGAATCAAGAAAGTGAAGAATTAATTTTCAGTATTTTAACCTTTTAGCTGCATGATATCACTGGATAAATCATCGAACCTCTTCAGCTTTTCTATTCTTGAAAGTAAAGATTGTGATGTTTGCCCTACTTACCTCTTGGGTCCATTGTGAGGATGAAATGAAGTTTCAGAGTACTGCATGCTGTCACTACTGAACATACAGTCATTGCTATGATCAGCCTAATAATAATTGCTGCCTCTTCTGACGGTCCTTGGTGTTTTCTTTCTGCATACCATCATTCACCCCATCACCTGAGGTATCCAGGGAGTAACTTCAACTCAGTGTAAAGGGCAAGAAGTCAAATTTAGAGCGAATGGGAAGAGAGGGGAGATGGGACTACGGCCAGCTTGTACACGTGACTAGGTTCTTGGGAAGCCTTGGCTGTTGGAGACTTTCAGTTCCTCGTGGACCAGCCAGGAGTCTCAGCACAGAAGCCAGGCCTTGCACAATATGAAATGCATAACCAACCAAGATGGCGACCATAGCAGGGAAGGAGAAGCCATGGGATGATTCTGCAAGCAGTGGCTGGGTGTCCTGGTGCTATGTCATGTCATACTAGGTTCAAATACTGGCTCCATTATGGAATAGTTGTGTGATCCCTTAACTCCTCTAAACCTTCCTTTCTTCATCTGTAAAGTGGAGACTCAATAATACCTATTTTTTGAGCTATAGTGAGGATTGGTGACCTAATTTATTAGTATCCCTGCTGTTGTGCCAGTAATGTGGAATGAGGCTGAAGCTGTGAGCTCCTTGAAGGTGAGGATCCACTTATTACCCACCTGTACTGAGTAGGATAATAGGGGATTTGGAGGTGAGGTGGAAAAGGGACCGAAAGGAGATGAGGCTAGAAGAATAGGTGTACCCAAAACATGGAGGACCTTGGTTGCCTTGCTAGAGTTTGGGTGCCATGAAACACTTTTAATGAGGGGGTATAGTAAGATTAGATGTGTTTTGATGGAGATATCCTTGGAAGCTTCTGCAGGGTGGGCCTGGAAAGGAGTTAAATAGAAGCAATAAGACAGAGGCAGGAGACAATGAGCAGTGGCCTGGAAAAAAAGAAGCTTCTAGAATATTCCAGAAATTGAATCTAATAGGTGACCAATTTGTTGTGGGAGGGACAGTGTTCTAGGGACATCACCAAGGCATCAAAAGTTCTGTTCTGTTCCATGTAGCACCAAGGATGGGGAGGGAAAAGAAGCAACACTGGCTTACAGTACCAAACACTGTTCAGAAATTCAGCTCCAAGTCAGAGTGTGTGCCTCAGAGAAGGTGAGGTGACCACACTTCCCAAAGTGAGTTTCCCAAGGAATTGACAGGAACCATCCATAACAAAGGTACAGGAAACCTCAAGTGAAGAAGCTTTGCTGGATTTAGCAATAAAACTCTATCCTGTTTTGGGACACCGTATGTTTGCAGATGGGGTCGCAGTGAGAGGCTGTCGATTGTTCAATCTGGCTGGAGAATCCTGGTTTGCTTCTTAGCCAACTCAGTGCTGAAGGAGCCTCTGATCATATCAAATTATGGTAGACACTGAACGGTAGAGACTGAGTTTCATCTCCAGATTGTCTTGGAGAGAATCACTGATGTCCACTTCATCTGGATTCTGATTTAATAGGAAGGCAAACAGTCATAGTGAATACTAATTGAGCACCTACTGTGCCCCAGATACTTAGCTGAATGCTGAAGCTGAATGCCTTTAATCCTCATAGCATCACCTTGAATGTGGTCTAATATTCCTTTCATTCACCTAAGCATTTTGTCCTGTTCTCGATTACCGTTCTGTCCATTTTATGGATGAAGAAACTGATGTCAGAGAATGTAGTCACTTATCAGAGGTTGCACAGCTAGTAAGTGGTACAGTCAGTGTTTGAAGCCAGGCAATCTTCTTTCAGACCTGCTGCTTTTCATCACCCCACTTCCTGTCTCAAATCTGCATTGTACCGCTTTGGGCTGGCAGAATAGAAGCACCCCCAGGAATTAGTTAAACATGCTTCTTGGTCCTTTACCAACACACTATTAGATGTCTGTTGGATTTTGCTCACAGCTGCCTTCTTCACTTGAGATTTTAGATACTGCACAATAAAAGCCTTACTAATTCCCTGGGAATGAATTATAGGAGAGACAGTCTGTTGAAGAGAAGAATCTGGATGAAAGAGTGGTTCCACAAATTCTGTGTCTCTATCCATAACTGTGTTGCTTTCACCTGTGGTAACACATGTCCCTCGTTTCAGATCTGCCATCCACTTTAATACTTAAAGGCAGTGGAAGTAAAGCAGATAAAAATGTCTTCATTTCTCAGATGAGAAAATTGATATTCAGAATTCAAGTGACTTGGCAAAGTCACACAAATGCTATTACACATAAGGCCATCTGTGAGTAGAATACTGTAAGTAGAATCTGTAAGTAGAATACTAATCTCTCCAGGGCTGGGGAGATAGCTCAAGGGAATAAGAGCCTGCCTGGCAAGCACAAGGTCCTGAGTTCAATTGTGAGTACTGCAAAAACAACAAACAAACAAACACTCCCCCTAGGGAAAAAAAAAACTGAGGTAGATGTAGATTGACTGCTTTAGGCACTGTGGCCTTGTCCTGCATATATATATTTCAGGAACAACCAAATATTTCTAGGCAGGGAATAACATGGAGACTATTATATCTTAATTAACGTATCAACTAGAAGTTGCTTCTAATTAGCAGTCCATGAAAGAATTCATACTCCAACACCTATTTGTATCGTGTTTGTACCCTTCATTTTCAGAACAAGTTAATCTACAGAAATTCATTTCCTGAGTGAAATTGATGCAGGTTCTGGTTTTTCAGGACAGAACAATGATGTGGACTGGAGTTTGTTCTCCCTCATCAGAAAACTGCCTGCTCCTGTGTCATGTGCTTTGCTTCCTATCTTCTCTTAGGACCATCACGACAACATTTCTCTAGCAAGATAACTGTGCATCCGTTTCATCTTTACAGCCCGTGCAAGGCTTTGACTATGCTAAGCAGCACCTCGGCCAACAAGGGGCAGATGAGGAAGTCATCCCCGTGACTCAGGAGACCGTGGTCCTGCCCCTGCCAGTTAGAGATGCTCCTCAGGAGAGGGACGTTGCTCAGGATGGGAGCACCATCAAGACAGCCAAGTCCACCGAAACCAGAAAGAGGTAGGCAGGGGCCAACTGCTGCCTTTCCCTGTCAGCAAGAGAAATCTGTAGGAGAAGCTGTGGCCTCAAGTGGGTTACTCGGTTCTCTTCAGAAAGTCCCCTTCATGCTCATTTTGCATACTGCAAAGGAGACTAAGAGAGATGCTCTCTCTGGGTTACCATTATGAGACTTTATGTCACTGATCAGCCATTACCATGGAAATTTAGGTCCTCTATTATGCTAGCAAACTTGGCTCCAGTATCACCCTTGTGGTTTTCATGTCTGTTGAAAGCAGTGCCTTTCTTTCAGGATACTTGGAATTTACCTGGCAGATTCTCAATAGAGTTTCTGATTCCAGTCAAAACCCTTTATTGAGTTTTTACCATGAACAGAGCCCTTTGACAGGCATCAAGAGAGCTATAAAAATGTGGGAGATTAATTGCTGACCCAAGGATCTTGTGAAGGAAGGGATAGAGAGATAAATAATGGAATGCCAAGCGTGACAATGTGTGAGGGCCCATGTTGGGTCTAAATGCTGCAGTGAAGAGAGGAGGAGAACTTAATGCTGCCTGTGGGGACATCTTGGAGCAGGTTGTTAGCAAGCCTTGAGGGGTAGGGTGGTCTGAGTAGGGGGGAAGAGATAAAGGATCCATCTGAAATAGTGGGGAAAGAACAGGACAGTGAGGATTCCCACAGTTTGGGATGTTGTGAAGGACAAAATGAGAAGATGGATTAAAATGATAGACCATCTTGACCACCAGGCTAAGGAGACCATTACTTTGTAGCCAATGAGAAGCTATTGAAAGTTCTTTTGGACAACAGTGACATCCAGCTTTTATTTTAAAAGCACCATTTTGACAGCAATGTGGATGATAAGTGGGAGAATTTAGGTTAGAGACTCATTACAGGCACTTATCAGTAGCTTTAGAAAGAGGTCACGAGCTCCATGGTAGGTCTTGTTGGCTGGCAAGACCAACATCCATCACCTACTCCCTCCTATCTTGCCTGAAGCCACTGGAGATGGGAAAAACCACCTCTTTCCTGTGTTATTCCTTCGTTTCCTCTCTTTATCTGACAGATATGTATTACTGTGTATGTTTCTTGTTTGCTAAACACTGGAGATATTTCAGTGAACAAGACAGAGTTGATATTTTCATGGAGTTTATAATATGGTGAGGAAAGATAAACAATAAGTAATGAAATAGATAAGGTATTATTTATTTCTAGGTCAAATGGTAAAGAGTACAAAAAAGGCAAGAAATCCACAATAATAGGACAGAGAGACGGAAGGGGAGGGGAAGCATAGTGCTATGTTAGCAGGCTGACTCACTGTCTGGGGTGGCCCATGTCATGGAGACCTCTTTCCATCTGGTTTCTCATCCTCCAGCAGGCTAGCCCAGGCTTTCTCCCAAGGTGAGTCCAAGGGCAACAAGAATAACTAGCCCGCAAATATGAACATTTCCCAACTCTCTGCCTGTGTCCTGCTTTGTCATGAGGTCAAGTTCAGAGAAGGAGTGGTAAAAGACTTCCCCAAGGCTTGATTACAGAGATAGGAACAAATTGGGACCATCACGGCATTGGGGAAGAGCCCCGGCAAAATGGAGTTGAGACACACAGAGATGCAACTGATGATTGATCTGAGTTGAGCTGGCTTGAAAATAGTGTTTTCTACAGCAATTATTCTCATTATGACCTTTGTCAGATATAATAAAAGCATACTGACAAGTTATTTATTTTCTATTTAGAAGATACTAAAAAGAAATAGAATTACTAGCATTAGGATACTATTAACACAGCACTTCCAAGAAGAATAAAAATTATTTTCCACCTATTTGTTGAGTAAATTGTGTCAAGATTAATTTCTAAGAACTATATTGGAATGAGTATTTCTTCTTGGGTTAGCAAGGAGTTGACTCTTGCTAATTGAGTTCATTTATTTACTACAGATTTGTATTAAGAAATATTAGTTTGTGAAACAACAGATAAAGAAAATGTCTATAGTATTATGTGTTTTCTATCTTTGCTTCATTATTATTTCATCATAAAAATGCGATCTTACTGTAGGCCAGCTGTATCATTGCCCAGACTGTGGTAGAAACCTCATCTATGTTCACCTTTAACTGATCAAGAAAGTCTCAGATCATTACAGAAGATCCTGAATGCTAAATCCAACATGAATCATGTTTCTGGGTTCTTCATCTTTCTATGTCAGTTTCCTCATTCAACCTAGAAAGAAACCGCAGGAACCCTGGGCAAGATGGGTCTGTTAGATAGCCCAAAGTGTTTTGTAAATGAAAATAGGAGAAACCAATGATTTGATAGTTATTAACATGTTTCCATTGTAAAATGGAAATCTGAAGATTCAGTCATTCCTAGGCAGTCTGATGAATATTGTAGGTCCCTTTCCTCCATCAAGTCTAGGTCTTGGGGGTACTAATGTGTTTGTGGCTGAAGCTGATAGGCCAAGATGAAGAATCAACTTCATAAGGACAGTCATTAGCAAAGGACACTTAGTGATGGGCTGTAATTGTTCAGTGGTTGATTCATCTCCATCCCAAAACTCTCTTTCTGGGCTCTGGGTCCATCGCTGGTCTCAGAATGGGGAACCATTGAGTTCAATCTCACAGATGATATTGTTTGCTTTCGGAAACATTTTGCTGTCATGTAAGTACAAATACACGGTCTCGGTCTCTGATTAGGAGTTTGGAGTAGATGGCGCCATGGAAACAGAACTCTACAAGTGAAAACAAAGAACAGAGTTGGGTTTTCTCTGTAGAACTTCTCTTGTGGACACCTTTCCTTGGAATGAGTGAGAGGAACAGGCAGAAAATTGTTGCAAGATCAAATGAAGGAAAGGGTCTTAAAATGCCACTAAATAATTAAGTAATTTGCAGGTGTAAAATAGGTTACAAAAAGCCTTTCTCTTTCCTTTTCCCCCAAGAACTAAATGAAAGCCTTTTATTCCAATAAAGCTACCTGGAAGAGTGGGTCCTGTTAATTATGAGATTCTGAAAATAGCCCAGGAGTGTATGTCTTCTCCACATATGTGTATATATACAACCCATATTCAGTAATCAAATAGCTTCTGGGTAAATAAATAATACATGTTCATTAATTAATGCCCAATCTATATTTTCCTAGACTACATTTCCCAGACTACTAGTTTTATAGGATATTTAAAATGTTTTATGGTAAAAGAGACTTATGGCCACATGAATTGTAAAATGCTGGATTTAATGAAACAAAATGAATCTATGACAGCGCCAGCCGAGCCTTTGATATGCTAATGCACTTTAGGAATCCCCAAAGAATGAATAGAGTAAATATTTCCCAGACTTCGCCTGTGTGTAGAAGTTGGGCTCTGCAGCCCACAAGACACTCTTACATATGCTGCCTCGTCCTGGGACATTCTAGTTTTCTCACTGCTGGTGAGTTTAGGGTCCTAACGTTGCGGAACCGAGAGCTCTAGGCTCCCAGAGGAGAAGGAAGTAGCAGGGCAGCACGTCCACTAGGACACACAGCTCCCACCTGGCCGCAAGCTGCTTACCTCCCTCAGATGAGGCACTGATTCCCTGTCAGTTTTCCGTGGAGCAGGGATTGGGGTGGTCTCAATCCCTGCTAATTTTTTTTTGCTAAATGTGGACAAATGGCACTAAAGACAAGCCTCCAGGTGTCTGCCTCCCGACGGCCCTCTTCTCTAGAGGCAGGTGGTTGGTCTTGGCACTTGGTCCACCCAGGCTGGTGTGAGCTGAGGCCCATGAGAGGTCTTTAGAGAACCCACTTTCCCACAGAGTTACGGAAGGTGAGAGTCTGGTTCTGAGTGAAGAGGAGAAGGCCTTGAGGCCCGCCCTCATCTGGGGTCCCTATTGGGAACATCAGAGAAGAGTATTCTGAGGAGGGATGGAGGGGGATTCCTGGCTGTAATCCCACTGCGCAGTCCTGCTGTGAACAGCACACTTCGCCTCTGCCAGCTCCGCAGTCCTCACTTACTGAAAGACCCAATCCAGAAATGGGCATCGGAGATGAACACACGCTTCTCAGAGGATGAAATTAAAGAAGCGAATAAATACATGAAAAAATGCTGCACATCATTAGCCATCCGTGAAATGCAAATTAAAACAACATTGAGATATCATCTCACCCCAGAAAGAATGGCTATCATAAAGAAATCACCCAACAACAAATGTTGGAGAGGCTGTGGG